AGCACGTCCTGTAGATCCCGGTTCAGCGAAGATCGCAATCTGGAACTTGATCGATGTGCAGAAGCTGCGTTTCGCATTTTCGAAGGAGTAAGTTCCGAGGTGCGAAGGTTTAGAAGCGCTCATGTACGACTTCGTTAGTGTTGCTTTGAGGGCAGTGTTAGCGTACAGTGTCTTCTTCCGAAAGGCAGCTGGGCCGGTGCCTAATTCTCCTTGATGACATACATGAACGTGTCGCATTCTCGTTGGCGTGGTGTGTCGTGAATGTACTCAGCCACCTTTGGTCTACCACTGCATCGGAATGGCAGCGATCGATCGACAAAGCCCGCGATGCGCTGTAGTAACTTTCAGTATCTATGCGCAAATTCTGGCCAGGCGATCTTGTGCTTCGAGAACAATGGGCGGTTCCTGACGTTTCTGTGGTACCGAACGTTGAGGTGGTGACACATAGCCAAACATCGAACCTTTTCGTTGGCAGCGCTCGAGTTCCGTGGTCGAGACCGGATCTTGGGACGACGCAAGGTCACACATTCTTCGTCCTGTTAAGGAATGTGTAGTATCTCAGGTACTCAAAAGACTGGAGACGGTATATTGGCAATGTACACATGCTTACACCCGTGATCGTAGACCACTGATCTCTTGTCTCGGAACAGAACGGAGAGGAATACCGACGTCGTCAGCCCAAGAATGGAATGCACGCAAGCCCACCCAGAGTGCCAACGCCCAGGTTCAAGACATTGCTTCGTTGCAGCAAGGGGCAGATGCCTGTGGGGTGCCGGTAAAACCTTGCGCATATGCGCAATATTTACCCATAGCAGGATTCTTCCATCACTTGCATTCCATCTCGCATCAAAGAAGCACTAGTCAGATGCCAGGTGGGAGGCTGAAGACCAGCCTCAATATCTTGGGATGATTAAGACCATCCCTGCATTACCGCACTTATCGCATCCACCTTTGATCTTGCGGTCGAAACGCATGGGCCGAGATTCCGGTATCTTGGCGCTTGGGAACCACGATATTGGATGATTTGGGTCGTAATGGGTATGTTGGGAGGTGTGGTCATCTGTACGCTGCTGCGCTGGTTCCACAGTTGTTTGTGAATCTGGTACGTTCCGCGGACGCGTGCAATGTTACCTGAACAGATAGCCGGAAAACACAGAATTAGTAGAGTCCCAAACGGGATGAGAGAGTTTTTGCTGTGGAACACAAGATGCGTGCCATGGCGGGCGATGTAACGGGGGAAAATTGGGGTAGTTACATGGCTGTGGCGCTTTGAGCGGAAGTCACACTGACCACCAACGCATCTGGAGAAGAGATGAGAGTCATGTTAGCATCTCTGGGGTAGTCTAGTATGCTGCTGATCAACGTCGATGCCATTCCGATGCGGTCGTCTACTTCCAAGGTTCCTTGGCATTTCGGTAGAATGGAAAGCGAACCAGATTCCCAAAGTCATAACAAGTCTAGCACAACTTCCAAGACTTGTCCCAGAAGAGCGGCTCTGAGGGAAATCCACAATGATACACCTGCTGAGCCACCACCGGAGTGCCCAAGCCGAGAAGTACATGCCCCCCCTCGAGGATAAACAACAAGCAAGCCTTAGCCCAAACAAGCGATGCAAAATTCCCTCGTTCCGTCTTGACCTTCCTTCACAGTCTTGGCATTGCACTTGCAGCGGCTGTGGCTCATCTATATAGCGGGAAGCCAAGCAATCCGCTCGTCTTGTCGCGGCAGCTCATCCTGCGGTGAGAGCGGGGCCCAGGGTCTCCATGGTACATGATTAGATTGGCATCGGCGCGAAATCTGTATCCGGTAGGCACTACGCCGTGCGTGGTCGTCGCACCAGAGATATTGGTGCGTGAAGGTGGTTGGTGGCATTTGATGTCTCCTGTTTCGGGAGCAGGTACATGATGTCGATGTACATATACCAAGTAGCGCGGCAAGCTTGGCTGCATTGCGCAATGCCGATCAGTATAGTGAGGACAGATTTATAGTCTAGATCGGATTCGCATTTGGGCTAGAAACAGTCATATGACGGTGAAGCGTCTGGATGCGCATGTACAGTTGAATCGTAAAATCGCTGCTTGGCTATACGGAATCTGTGGCTCAGGACTCCCGACCAAGACTTCAATCTGCTTGTGCAAGCGCTGTGTCAATCACGTAGATGGAGATGACAGCAGTTTGATGACATACATTAGAGACAAGCAAGATCGAAGATAGCGACGCGTCACCCGACGACATCGATGTGATCGCAAAGTGAAACCAGATACATGATCAGTGACAGAACGCTAAACATGCCCAGACTCCGTCCATGCAAGTATGCAAAGGCCCCCACTGATGTGTGGATATCTGTAATCGCTGATAAGGACATTTCCAGACTCCACGTAACCAGTAATGATGACTGCAAGACGCCTGTCGCTTAACAAAGCTCCCGAACATTCTAATGTGTTACTACGCCACCTTCGACATACTCGGCGTTTGTACACCAGGTTGCGCAGTGTGCCCTACAATCTCCAAGACACTCGTAGAACTTTCGCTGCTACCTTGCACGGTCATGCCCAGCGCTCGTCGCGCGTACTCTTTCTGACCACTCGCCACATGGTCAACTGGAGACTGTGTGGTACTATGACCGTTGGCCGTGCCGTCCCCCGCGACAGCAGCTGGAGGCTGTAACCAGTGCACACTGGTGCATCGGTTCACAAGTCGCACGGTAGTCTCGTCAACGGGTGCAAAATGGTTGCCGCTGGTGACAAGTAGATGAAGGAGCCGCAGTAGCTCGTCACGCTTATAGTGAGGTGGCTTGCTGATCTGGCTGTGCATAAGAATGGGGTGCAGAACTCGGAGGTAGGTATGTCGTAATGCGTTTGCCGCGGCTGAGTCGTGGGGTAGGTCTATGAGGTTCCGGAGAATGACGTCGACCAAGACATGAAGATCGTTGGTATAAAAATATTCGGCAGTAGAAGGGTTGCCGAACAGAAGATAAAGCACTTTGAGAATTAGAAGCTGAAGGGACGTCTCCGACTCCCTGTTCAGAAGGAGAATCAGATTGCACCCGAAAGTCTTGTATGTCAAGCCATGCGTCGAGATAGCTTTGATGACCCTGTTCGTTATGCCAGGCCGGCCGTCGGTATGACGGCTAGTGGAGGCCACAAGGTACTGCTCGTTCAAAACCAGCTGTCTCAGTGTTAGCTAATAGTCGATGGTATGTGTATGCAGACGTACCAAAACGCGTATCACAGGATAGTGGTACGGGTCGTCAGCGTCATCAGAGGCACCTTCTATGATCTCCAACAGATAGAGGATGAAAGCGTCATTCACCGCCGCTACACATCTAGGGTCAGCAGTCGCTCTGGTTGAGAGGAAAACCAGTCATGTTGAAGCCATACCGAAGTCGTCCCACGTCAACCGTTGAACTCGTGAAGATTCGTAAAGCAATTGGAGGAGTAGTTGATGCACGGTAGTCTCTTCTTGCACGCTCTGCGTTTGTACCAACTCAACAAGCCTAGCAAATGTGCCCTCCGAGTGCATCATGTCAAAGATGTCGTCGTCTTTGCTATTGCGGCCATCATATAGGAGGAACGCGGCGACTATGTGGAGGGTAGGGTTATCGTCTTCCTATCATGCTCGTCAGCCTCGCTCGACCAGCGGCCATAGACAAGGCATGCGCCAACGTACCTGCAAGAGGCAATATATTATCTGCCGCCGCACATATTCCTTGTTGGAGGCGAAGAGTTCGCCCTCGAGCATGCGAAATATGCATTTGGCAACGCTGAAATCGGTTTGGAGGTATTCGGCTAGTCGTGGTCAATGCTGGTCATGGCAGAGGTCGGAGATGCGTACATCTATAGTTGGTGGTGACATTAAGAAAGGATCGGAGCGAGTTGTCGATGATGTCGTGCTGGTGACAGCGCGTCGAGACTATATCGTCGAGTTCTGTGTAGCGTGTTAGTCGAGGCTGCTGTTGGTGGGGTTGCGAGGCGCGCTCACCATCCCAGAATTGTTGCTCATTCTCGAGATCATACGACACCTCAAATGCCATGTCGTAGTCGCGGGTCTCTTGCCAAAATCATCCTCTCCAGCGATGAAGGCTGCGGAGGGCTGTGCAGAGAGGCGCAAACTGGAGGTTGTTGGAGTGTTGATGCGAACAACTGACCATCCGGAGATTCACCGGCGTTAGCTAGTGCGTCACCGATACTCTTTTGGGTATAGGGTAGTCTGTTGTTACACATGCGCTGGCAGTAACAACCCCAAGTCGTGAGCGCGATGGAGTGCTTCTTCACAATCGATCTCGGGTGATCGTTGCAGCATTTGTGTGAAGTTGAAGACAGAAAAAAATGCGATGCTGAGCTTCACCCTGCATCTGATAGGCTCAACCCTGCTTATCGTGCTGGCATGCCATCGTCCGTACTCTACCAAGTTGACCACTCACGTGCCACTATGTGTGTGAGTATCTTCAACCTATGTGGAGCTACATATCCACGGATTTACAGTTCAGATAGATTGTCTATCACGTGAATTTGGTAATACTATTAGGATGTCAAGTGCGCGCCCTTCCATACCCCTCACCCTCATGCGTGTCACTGCGCCCTTCTCGCCGTCTTCAACAGCTTTTTCCAACATTCCTTTTCAGGAAACATCGTCGAGTAGGATTATGAGACATCTGGCCAGCGTTGTGCTCTTCCACACCCTTTGCCCATGGTAGCGCAGCCATCGATCCATGTGCCGAAACTTCCCAAGAGGACGAACAAAAATGACTGATAGCAGCAGAGCAGGCAGAATTACATTGTCGAAACCCAGTTTGATTGGACGCTGATTCAACATTCCCATACATACGTAGCCGTGTGAGTGGCTTCCGACGCCTTCAATGCAATGCTCCGCTCGTAAGCCTATCACTTGTCATATAATGTTACAGTATGTGGTTCACCCCAGTACACATCCGTACTGTCCAAATATCCAAATATCTCTGATATATACACCGCCTCGAACAATCCAATCATCTATCATCTTCATTCTTCACTGACTACTTCCTTCTCGCGACATACTACACACCCCCGGCCAACTGCACTCTTGATGACATGAGCATGCGCTACTTTTGCGCCGACACTCCTTGTCCACCTACCACCGATATCCTCGGCATCGGTAGCCAGCTGCTGTTGTAGACCAGCCGCAACACTGGCACTAGCACTTGTCTTGGGTAGTAGGCAAGTGAGGTGGAAGACGTGACCACATGCAAAGCCCACGAGCGTGTCGCGAGACAAGGGCATAGGGCCACCCTCAACAGTGGCGGTCTCTTCTTCGGCAGTAGGAAGCGTGAAAGGACGGTGGCAACCTACACAATGGCCAGGCGGTGCCTCGCCTTGAGGAGCTTCCGCAGGGGCGGGGTCGATGTTCGGTGCGTTAGTTGTGGAAGATGCCGCCGTTGTCTTCTTGTCTGCCTTGGCCGTAGCCTTTGCCGCGGAGACGGGGTCGATGCCTTTAGACTCAATGTCGATCTGTCCTTTTGCATGGCGATGCTTTTTGTGGCCTTCGCCGTCACATGGTATGACTTCGAACTTGACACCCCGTTTCTGACCGGCACGCAACGTGTCCATACCGGCTGCTACCTCGCCCCGGAGGACTCTTGCGACACCTTCTGATATAGAGTGTTGGATTTCATACTCACGCACCATGCGACCAATGCCATCCCTTAGCCCTTCGATTTCCAGGCCTTCAGGGATACGGCGGACGAGCTTGATTGGATCGATTGCTGTTCCGACCTCTTCAAGCAGACCGCGGATGAAGTGGGGCTTATCCATAGAAAAATCCAGCAAGTCGTTCCAAAGATCGGGATCATCTTGCTCTTTAGCGAACGAAATAGCGAAGCTAACGTCGGAGAGCTTCTCAATGATCAGATAAAGAGCACGTTTGGTTTGACCGGTCTTGGAGAGGATGTGCCTACAGTAGGTTAGCAAACGTGGAAAGTGATGTAGCGCGAACAGCCAATGACTTACACAAGTTCTGGAGTGTACTCTCTTCTCTCGCACTCCGCGGTAGCTTTGCTCAAATCAAAACTTTGAGATTTGCGCAAGTACTCCATCAATAGCGGTCGATCGTACTCTGCGAACAATTCCACCATGAGATCCGCGAATTCTTCTGCAACGAGCTTCCCGTCGGCTGCTAGACGATCTTCAGCCACTCTCTCTTTAGCTGTCTTGGCTGTTCGCTCATGCGTTTCTGGCTTCCAGAGTTTTCTCAGGTAGAAGTGTAGGAATGGTCTGAACGACGGGCCTTTCGCTTGCAGTTGGCTTTCGACGTCACTTGCGGGAATGGTGCCCCGGCAGCCCTCCTCTACGAGAACGTCGATGGCTTCCGCTGACGCTTCTTCTAGCTCCTCTAATTTCGTGGATGCAGACTTCATCTGTTCTTTCGAGACGCCCATCATGATGAAGCCAGGGATATCGTCGCGTACGGCTTCTACAAGATGAAAGTCTCGTATTAGAGTCATTGCTGCTTCCGCATTTTGCAAGCGGATGTAGCAGCGTAGCGCCTCTCTTTGCCTACCACTGGCAAGGAACAATTTCGCAAGACCGTCTTGCAATATCCGCCAGTCTCGACCTTGTATGTCGCCCTCGATAGAATCCTCCGTGACGTCGCCGGCAGAGAGTTTGCTCTTGATTGCCTCAATAACACTGTTGATGTCGAACAGGTCAGGATCCCAATCTTCGAGCAAATGCTTGAAGCGTATGCGATCATGTATGATGTAGTGGCCCAGTATCACTTCGTATACCATTGAAGGTAGTGGAGGTTGTATGGGCTTCTTTGGAACATAAGGTGAGATTTCGTTGAAGTGGTTCGTTTGTGCAAACTTCCACACCCAATGTTCCCATCGTGTGGAGGTGCCGAGTACGCGACCAGCAACTTTGCCTGCCTGTTTCCATTCGCCAGCGCTAACAAGCTGTTGTACCCAGAGGTCTCCAATACGACGCTTCTCTTTTTCGACTGCAGAATTTTGGTTCGCCTTTGTAGCAGACAGCGTCGTTTGAGATTCGCTGTCATCGGCAAAGAACTCGTGTAAGCTTCCCTGCTGCTTTGTTGGGGTACCTGCATCTGAGCCGTCTGACGATGCCTGAGACACGGACGCGATGATCTCGGGATGGTCCTCCAGAAGCTCCCACGCATCTTTGTAGTTTTCATGCTCGAGTTCCCATTGGAAGTGATCAGACAGCTCTCGTTTTATGGCCAGTACACAGTCATAGGGGCTCTGTATGAAGACCTTCAAACCCGCGGTTGCAGCGTTTGGGTGTGCCTGTTGTTGGCGCTTGCCCGATATTGAGCCAGCAGCATTTCCAGCGCTTGCTGATGACATGGAAGGCGCTCTCGACGGCGGCTTATCAGAACCAATGGGAAGGTTCATCACACTTGCCCCAGAGCTGAATATGCGAGCGGTAGCAGCGCCAACATCCCATATCCCGCCACCAATGGCTTCCAGTGCACTTCTTTGTGCAGGTGTCATCGTCTTGGGGTGTGGCACATACAGCGTGCCCAAATGATAGTCCGCAGCAGATAAGCTTTCGAATCGGCTGACGGTCAGAGAGTCAACTTCAACCTCGTCCGAGGTCGCGGCATCAATGAGTTTGAGCTCAGGAGAAAGACCGTTTGTGCGACGGTGTCGCCCCCCTCTGGGAGTTGTGTCGGGCCCAGAGACTGGATTGTCATCGTCGTCGCGTGTCCGGTATGCAAGAACAAGAAGCAAAGAAGGGGTATAGAGCGAAATGCCAGAAACAATACAGTCGTCGAAACGAAGGCTAGATCTAGTTAGCAAGACGTAGGTAGTAGGAGAAAAGGGACGCACAAATGGACCACCTCGGCGCTTCCGACCGATCTCTCACCGACGTTGCGGCCGACGCCAGCTCCACCTGGCTGTATGTGAACGACCCATGCGGCATCCCCCCATCCTATGATGAGCTTTTCGAACTTCTTCGGAGGCTTCGCGTCCTTGGTGGCCTGGGGTGAGCGGTTGTGTGGTAAGGTGGCCTCGGGTTTATCGGCAAGGTGATGTCCGTTCATGCTCAATATCGCATCGTCGTCAGACTCAAGCGATCGATCGTCAATCCACTCTATGCGCGCCTTCCACACACCAGCCATCTCTTGCCATATTCGACGGTTCGGCTTTTCGATAAAACCAATCCTCTTCCAGGCATATTCGGACTCAGCGCTATCGAGGTGAAGATCGGTGCGCATGATGCGAATGCCGTGCTCATTGGACCAGGCTACAAATTTGCCAGAAAGAGACCATTTGATGGCGGTTATAGTACCTTCTCCTGCATGCAGAACGGTATCTTTTCCACTGTGCCCGCCTAGTCCTATTGCTCCAAGCCATCCTTGAGCTGTCTGCGATGCTGAGCTGGTGTTGGCATTGGAACGCACACCCGTTGGACCTCCGACTGTGTGAATAAGCTCGCCAGCCAAGCCTCCCGATAGGTATGAGCGGTCGTTCTTATAGTCAGGCGAAAGCGCCACCGCCTGTACAGGGCGACCAAAGTTGCGTAGCGTGACATCCTTGGGGTCGATGAGTGAAGACACACATACGTGCCCATCTATAGATGACGAAGCTATGTAAATCTGATTGGAAGGTGTCGATGGCACTTGGGCCTGACGCGGCGTCCGAGGGGAGGATGCATTGCCTGCTGGAGAATCGGTTCGTCTGGTCGATGCATTGGTCTGGTCTGCTGAGCGGAGGTCTGAAGCTGTAGGTACGAAGGGCTGGGAAGCTAGTAGAGGCGATACGGAGAGTGCGGTGACGGAAGCAGCAGGATGCGCGTTGTAGGTTCGGAGGACTTGGAACGCGGGTATGCTCAGCGCATGTATGTTGCCATTGTGGGTTCCTACTATCTACATACAATCTTAGCATTCACTCGGCAGCGTGCACCTGTCGTGGGCATGAAGCATGGAGCTATGACCGTACCATCTTGTCCCCCGCGACCATGAAGGTAGCTGTCGCGTCGCCATTGCGGTAGACGGGCCCCAAGTCCCTTGTCAGGCGGCTGTACTTGAGCTTGGGCTCTTCCTCGACCTCGTCGTCCTCATCGTCGGAGTCGTGCTCGGCGCTGGCTTTCGCTTCGCTGGCTACCTGGTCGACGGGGTGAGGGTCGCGCGCAGGCGTACGCGGTTCGTCGGGGGTGTTTTCCGCAGCCATGCTGGCGGCATGAGCTGCGGCGGGCGTGGTAGAGACCTGGGGAAGCTCCGGCGCGTGGAGATGGAGGTGTTGTTGCAGTCGATGCCCGCGTCGATCTAGGCCTATGATGCTGGCCAAGCCATTCCCGCGGACTTGCAAGGGTCTAGCTTTCCTCCGCACTGCTCCACCACCTCAAGATCCATCGCCAGCCTCGCCGCCCGTTGCTGCGAATTATGTCCGAGCCACACTTGCGCCGGTGATGACAGCTATTCAAAAACACGCATTCAATGGCTTGACACGGTGTCTTGCTGCGTGCCGCCCGCCGAATCTTCCCCACGCCCGGTCGTTGTTGCGCACCCCCGCAAACCCACTATTCTCGACGACAAGCAGACATGAGAAAAAGATAGACTTCACTCAGAAGCAGGACGAGGCGGCCCTGAAGGAAGAGGCCACAAATGAGACGCAGCAAAAGCCAGATCGCAAGGGCGCGCGGAAAAATGCTGGCAAGACGTCTTTGCGCAGCATCGCAGTCGAGGCGCAGAGATCCCGGGCGTTTGTCAAGTCAAGAGGAAGAACCCGCTTCATAGATCCAGACGCCGAAACCAAGACGGTAACCGCATACTGCGCTGCCGAGACCTACGATATTGCCACCGCCGCTCGACTTGTCAAAGCCCAGGGTTACGAGCTCGATCCCTTCCAGACTGGCCTATACCCACAAGTTATACACGTCCAGACTTCCGATCGGCCGTCAGAGGTCAAGGACTTCCAACAGGGCGACATCTTCATCTTTCCGTCTGGCACCGTGGTGACATGGAATGTCCGAGAAAGAGAAGCGTTGAAGCTGGTTAACCAAGTGCTACCAGCGGCTGCTGAAGGCTCACATCTGGACTTGCTCGAGACAGAAGACTTGGACTATCTCGAAGATCCAAGTAAAGAGACCAGTGAAGTAGTCGGCGACACCATCGTCCTTGGCACAAAAGCAGAGCCAGTATCCGATAGCCCGCCATCGTCTCCTCTGGACGAGCCTCTCAACACGACCGACCAACGACACGAAGTAGACACTGTTCTAGCAAAGATTGCTTTCTCATCTGGTCTTGCCCGTAGCACCAAGCTGGCCGTCCTAGAAACCCTCCTATCCGCTTACCAGCACTCAACGCGCGAGATCCCCAACATGCTAGCCTCCTCCAAAACCTTCTCCCCTCGGCGCAGCGCTCCGTTTACGCGATCCTTTATATTGCGTAAGACAGGCGAGCTGCTCTCTCTTCGCGCTCAGCTGAACCTCTACTCGGAGCTCACCGACAGCATGCCCGACATCTTCTGGGACTCGCGGCATGAGTTAGGGCTGGGCGAGTACTACGATCAAGTTGGGCGGGCCTTGGATGTCGGAGTGCGTATCAAAGTGCTCAACGAAAAGATTGGTTTTGCGCAAGAGATTGCTAGTGTGCTGAGAGAGCAGTTGAGCGAAAAACATGGATTGAGGCTTGAATGGGCTATCATCGCACTTATCGCTGTCGAGGTTGTGCTCGAATTTTACCGGCATTGGGACGAGCGCAGGGATAGGGACGATCCGGAGAGTACCGAAGCTTTGCTGAGGCGGTACCTGGAGAGATTGGCGGAAAAGAAGGATGAACCTCGGACTGCATGAACGAGAGTCCTTTATGATAGCATTTAGCGCACCTGCATTTGATACCCCACTCTGTAAATACAATCTTCTTCCCACACGATTGGAGTAAAAGGCACAAACGAAAACATGTTGATTCTAACGACCATGTCCGCCCAGCAGAGGGGCACAGATATTTACAAGATTTTCCATAACCCTTAAACCATGCTTGTGCCCGTCTATTGGTCGTCAAGGACGTGCAGGTACTTCTTCTCTTCCCTCTTCTCCTTCTCGCTCATGGGGGGTAGATCATAGTAATTTGAGCTTCGGTAACCCTTGAGGTACTCAAAGGTCAAGCTCTTCAGCTCAACGGGGTCAATGTCCAGGTCCTTGAATGTCTTCGCATCCTTGTCAATAATCTGGTCAATGAATTCGCGCTCAACCTCATCGGCCGAGTGGATAGGCCACCAGAGAAGCTTGTTGGCGTAGTGTGCAATAGGCTTCATGAGGCGCTTGGGAATGTTGACATGGCGGCGCGGCTTCATGGCTTCCTTCTCGACGAGTTCGTTGATCTCGGCCATGGAGTACTCAGTGGGGCCGTACAGCTCGTACGTCTGGGCGGCGGTGGTGTCGTCGTGGAGCATGCGCTCGAGAGCCATGCCAACATCGATGACATGGACGGGGCGGATGCGCTCCTCTAGGTTGTTCGAGGTGACAATGTTTGACGGGTAGGCTAGGCGGTGGAGAAGACGGTCCTCGAAACCGAACATGGGCGCAGGTCGAACAATGGTGGTCTCGGGGTAGATGGAGCGTGCTACTTGCTCTCCCTGAGCCTTGGTGCGGTAGAACTCGGAGGGTGAGTCTAGGCGTGCGCTGTGCGAGGAGACCTGAACAAAGCGGTCAATGTCGTACTTGGCGACGGCATCCACAATGCGCTCTGTTCCATGGACATGTACGTCCTCCAGGTCGAAGTTCTTGGTGGGGTAGTCGCGACCAATGAGGTTGTAGACAATGTCAGAGTGTCGTACGCTCTCTTCAATCGATGCAGTGTTTCGGAGATCCATCTCGATGAAGACAACCCTGCCCAGATCTCCGGCGACCTTGAGGTGACGCTTTGCCATGTCCTCCCGGAAGGGGACTACCACTGTGCATCCTGATCGGGCTGTCGTCGTCGTTAGCGCAATGTCCCTCCGCTGCCCCATCGTTTCCACGCACCCAGTCGGTTCACAATGTATCGTCCCAAGAATCCAGTGGCTCCGAAGACGGTCGCGGTGTATCCTGTGATGTGTGAGCGTTGGTATAGCACGCCGGCGCGGGTCGCAGCGTACCTCCGAGCGAGGAACGTCCGCCGGAGACAGTCAAGATGGGCTTTCCAGTCCTGTGCTATGGTCAGCGTGTATTTGGCGGCGCGGGGACGAGTCTGGCGAACCTGGTTATCCTGACGTCCGAGTTGAGTTGTTGTCGGCGGACGGACGTAGAGAAGTTGGCGACACGCTTCAAGGGCGTTTGCGCCGACAGCGCCACTGGCGACCGAGCGCAGCGGAGTGGCAGCATGTTGGCGGCGTTCAATGGCGGCGGATATGTCGAAGAGAGCTGCTGGAGATGCCGCTGGGACGCATCAACGTCCGTGGTTGCTGGTCTTGGCGCTATGCGCTAATCGTAGCTTCCGCCGCAACGCCATCAGAGCAACACGTCCCGCACTCGCCAACAACAGCCCAGCTCCGTGATCACCTCGACCAACTCTACACCCGATACCCGCTCCCTCACCTACCATCGAAACTTCATAATCAGCAATCATGGCCATGGACACGGACACGATCCCGAACCTTCTAGGCGATGCGCGGGACGAGGCACCCGAGGAACTACAGGAATACTTCATCGCCTTTGAGGACTTTTGGGAGCGAAAGCTATGGCACGAACTTACCGACAAGCTCATCGAGTTCTTCGACCACCCAGAGAGCGCCAAGCAGCGGATACCCTTCTTCGAGACCTTCATCAAGAGCTTCGCAAACAAGATCAACCAGCTGAAGCTCGTCACCTTGGGACTCAACACAGCTTCACAGTACAAGGGTAGGATGCGCCATGCGGTGTGAAAAGATACGGCAGCTGACTCTCGCAGACGACAAGGAGCGCCTCACCTTTGTCAATGACCTCGCAAAGAGCGTCAACAAGCCCGCCTCACAAGACGCCTACGTATACGCCACAGTCGCCGCCGCCAGCATACAGCTACAACTAAAAGACGAGGAGGGTGCCAAGAAGAAGCTCGACGAGTGCGAGCAGATACTGGACACGTTTGACTCGGTCGAGACAGTCGTGCATGCGTCATTCTACCGGGCAAGCGCAGAGTACTACAAGTCCAAGCACGAGTTCGCCGCATACTACAAGAACGCCCTGCTGTTCCTCGCCTGCGTCGACCTCAACGACCTGGAGCTGCGCGAACGCCAGTCTCGCGCCTACGACCTCAGTATTGCCGCCCTCGTCTCAGATTCCATCTACAACTTCGGAGAGTTGCTGCTGCACCCTATCCTCGACTCACTCGTCAACACCCCACATGCGTGGCTCCGCGATCTCCTCTTCGCCTTCAACCGCGGCGATTTGATGGCATACGACGTCCTTTCCAACAACATCACCAAGGTCCCACTCCTCAAAGAGCATCAGACCTTCCTCTACCAGAAGATCTCGCTATCCGCCCTCACAGAGACCGTGTTCCGTCGCCCACCCCACGACCGCGCCATGACCTTCTCCGAAATCTCCCAAGAGACCAAGGTACAACCGAACGAGATCGAGCACCTGATCATGAAGGCGCTGAGCTTGGGGCTGCTGAAGGGACAAATTGACCAGGTTGCGGAGATTGCACGCATCAACTGGGTACAGCCCAAGGTTCTAGACATGAAGCAAATTGAGGGTATGAGGTCGAGGCTGAAAGAGTGGGATGCCAGTGTTAACCAACTGGGCAACTGGATCGAGGGTGTCGGCAAGGATGTTTGGGCTGCTTAAACAAGGTGCACGTTCTACTAGAGTTCTACTAGACGATGAGGACTCGCCTTTGAGAGGAGGCCATGCCAATGCTTGACGGGTGACATGTATCAGTTGATGCAACACGCGTGCATACGATGTAATCATAGATAGTGGCCATAGATGGTCAACGAACGAAAAGACTCATGACACCACGTACAACTCTCTTGCTTATACATGATCTGTTCTACAACCCATCTCTGACCACTATTGCCAGAATCCAGTGGAAACCACCAAAGCTCCCACCAACCACGCAGGGAACCAGACTAACCAAACCACAACCTGTGTCCACATGCCCCAAATGTGCCATCCAATGGCACTCTGCATCAGCACGTCCATAAGATCCACTCCCAGCAGCTTGGTTGCAGTCTGCACAACAAGGAGGGGATTCGTCATGGCCAAAATTAACATCTGCAGCCCTGTAATGCTGTTGTTACCACTCCTGCGTACATAACTCAACGGTGCACAAAGCACACCGACCAAAATACTCAAACTAAAGTTCAGCGTCGCCAGCGCCGCAAGGAACATGCCTAGTAGCAGCAACGAGAAACATTGGAATAGGCAGAGAGCTTGCGGGGTAAGGACATCAGGAGCAGACCACCAGAAGAGGAAGGTTATGATGAGCGGGGCGAGCGTGGTAACATTGCAGGCTGTGAGGAAGAGATTGGGAAGGTGGTCGGCGTCCCAGTTACTGAAGAGGTAGAGGGGAATTAGACCGGAGGCGTGGGCGGCGAGGACGAGTATGAGGGGGAAGAGGAGGTGGCGTTCTGTTATCGTTGTGCTGGCTACGGGGACAATGGCCAGGGAGCCGTCTTTTTCGACGAGTTCCGTTGCTGGTTGTTCGGGTTCAGGCTTCTTTTCACTTTCAGATTTCTCCTTGACTTCTGGATCCTTTGCCTTGGTGTCTGCGGGAGATGGCTTCTCGACGGGAGCCTTCTTGGGGTTCGTGGCTGCGGGGTTACCAATGGGCTTCGTAGTACGTCCGCTCTTTACCCATAATGCCATGGCTGCGATGCTGAAGTTGAACGCAATTAGCATGGCAGAGGGAAGGTATGTGCCGATGCTGACGAAACGCTTGTCTTGCAACAAAAGGTAGAAGAAGAAACTCTGGTGCAGGTGTTCAAGAAGGTTGTTCAAGCTTCGGAAAAGCGACTCGATCGTCTTGCCCAGCGACATCTCGTCGTGCCACCCGTTTCCGACTGTCACCAGTGTAATCGCGTCGACGTGGTATGGAATGAAAGATGAATGGGGTCCGGTCGCATGGCCAATGCCTTGCGAGAGCATGCCTCGAAGCATAGTTTGAAGACGCTCCTTGTATGAGTCCTTGTGGTCCCACATCCGTTGGATCACACAGCCGATGCCCATTTGGCTGGAGGCGATCTGAACCGCGGTGTTGAACAGATCCAGGTTGGGAAGTTGACCGTTTATGCCATCATACACCACATGCAGTTTGTCGTATCGGTGACCCCATGGACCAGCAGGATAATCGACTGCGACCGCTCCTTGTAGTGCCCCGCTCTTGATCTTCAAGCTCTCGACGTAACGTGTATCGTGGGCCTCGTGGTACGCATCGACCCAAGCTTGGGATCCGATTGTGCTGTCGCCGGGAATGAGCAAGATGATGTCCTTGCTCCATAGACTCCAGCGCTTGAAGTAGCGCGCCAGTGTGAGAACCAATGCGACACCAGAGTTGTTGACCTCGTCTGCCATGTTCTTCCAAGCTCCAATTAGCACAATTGCTTCGGTGGCATCCGCGCGAGGTCCCTGGAGGATAGCGTAGACATTTTCGTTTGCGATTGTTTGGTTCGAGACGGTGTAGTTGTAGTGCTGGGTCGCGACTTTGAGGTTCTGTTCGCGGAAGATGGCTTCGAGTCGCTGTGAGCGCCTGTTATCTGGTTAGTCTCTCTTCGTAAATTATGTAGTATATACGCACTCGGCGACAGGCTTTTCTATCAATCCATGGACCTCATGGCGATAGGCGCGGAACACGTTGTGCTCGCTTCCGGTGAAGTAGGTGTGTACCTGTCCAGGCAAGAGCGCGTTCTCAGAGACATATGTCCTGCGCGAGTAGTCGTTTAGCGGAAGAACCAGCAGCCACCCTATTCCAATGATGATGCAGAGCGCGGAGAGGTAAGGCGGTAGCTTGAGCAGGCGTTTGTCTTGCCGGAGCGCCAGTATCGAGGCTTCCCATGTCAGCTGTTCGTCCGTCGCATATCGCCAGAGCAGAACTCACACAAGAGAGCCATGTTGGAACGTCAATGGCACGTCATGTAAGAGGACAGAAAGCGAAAACCGGGTCGTGACCTGCCCTCTGCCCAGCATCCCACATATCCGTCTGGGAAGGTGCTAAGTCGACTCCAGCGGGAGGATCGTCACTAGCGCGGCTCTGGACCCTAGTCCCATAGTAATCTTCGTGTCTGTTCTCTTAGCAACACACGCGCCTGCATAACAACTCTGCCAACGCCCGGCGTGCTCGCTCCGACCATGCCTATGACCTCGATTCCCCAGATCAGCCCTGCCCGTATACGGTCGTATATCCTGCGCCTGCCGTTCTGCACCAAAGTGCTAGTCGCCGCCATTGTAGGACTATGGGTTGCAACAATTCCCTTCCCGTGGATTAGGGACTTTGGCGCCCTGGAGCCGGCCAAGATGGATTTGACGCAGAGTATGTTTGTTTTGTTACTACTAGGGGAACGTGGTCGGCCACAGTGCTTGTGTTCTGGTCTTGCATCGCGGCGTGGGCGCATCATGGGGCGCGGAACCCACGGAGCTGGCATTGAAGACGGAGGAGAACGTAGCAGGGGACATGCTGCACTTGACTTTCGTCTGATCCAATATGAACATAATGCTAATACAATACACTCGTAGTGCACCGACTCAATCTGTTTCCCGTCCTACATTGGAACTTTATCCACATGATCTTCAACCTCGTCGCCGTGACGCCACTCATCGAGCGATTCGAGTCCGAATACGGAACACTCGTTACATTGGCGCTTTTCACTGGGCGTAAGATATCAACTGGGTGATATGTATAGATAATGAGCTGACCAGACGGCAGCTTTTGGAACGATACCCGGGGGCGTGTACACATTATTGGAAAAGTATGTACTGAGGAGTAACACCTCAGTCATGGGCGCGAGGTATGCCAGATGGGTTTCCAGGGCCGTATGAGGTCGTGCTAATAGCAACAGTGTATGGGTGTTCCTCCTTCTGTCTGCAGAAGTAATGAAGACGCACAAGGCGAACCCGTACTTCAGGTACCACCACGCAACCCCTCTTCTCAATCCAACAACTAACTCTTCGCAGCGTCGGACCATACAAAATCCCCACCTGGACGACGCCCCTGATCCTCATTGTCCTGACCAGCATCCTCGTCCCCTACGTCAGTCTAGTCGGCCATCTTTGCGGCGCAGGTCTCGGCTACCTCTGGGCTTCCGGATACATCAAGTTCCTCGTACCGCACGAGAAGATACTGAGATGGGTTGAGACCAAGCTGAACTTGCTTGGAAGATTACCGCACTACGTCAGTGTCGACCAAAAGACGTACGGCCGATACGGTGTACTGCCAACAACGAGCGTGCCGCTGAGTAATAGAACTCCGGATGGAGGGCAACGACTTGGGCCATAGTCTTTGATCGAATGAAGTAATATGGTGTGGGCGGTCGACTTGCTAACGGCGTTTTGGTATTGCTCGGTTCCTACGTCACGACGAGGCGTCACGGTCACGGTGTGTTGTGCTACTCATAATACGGAAGATAGAGTATCCTGTACCGATATGTAGATTTGACGCGATACGGCATAATTCTAATGTTCTCCAAGGTATAGATGATTATGGCTTACCACGGTTCGCCAACCCCGCATTGGATTCTACCCACTCACACTAGTCTGCAGACCTCTGATGCCAACAAATGTTCTCTCTAGCCCCACCAACGAAGTCATCGACCTTTACCCACCTTTGAACACTGGCTATTCCGTGAGTAACGTCAATGTATTTTGTTCGATTTTGAAAATTGCCATCAAATAAGTTATCAGCTTAATAAGCTTCCTTGGGTAAGTCGCAACTCAGCACCGTTCTTAGCAATCAACGCTAATACCCCACAAGTGTAGTCGGTTATCACGTCGGTCTCATATCATAGAGTATGACTATTCCCAGCAATAGATATCCGAAGGCCGCCAGTTCGAATCTGGCAGGAAGCAGATTCCTTTTGCTGAGCTCTAGCTATAGAGAGAGAGGGCTTTGTTATGTGTGTGTGTGTGCAGAAGTGGCACTTTTTTTTTTACATCTTCGCATTTAAGGTACAGCAACAGCAACCAGCCAAAACTAAGACCAGACTCTACTCTACGTTAACACACTACAGAGATTAATAACATCTAGCCCGGGATATTATGAATTTTGCATGTCCGCTGCATCGCATTCCTATATTCCAAGGTTGCTTGACAGCACATCCACATCGAACATGTCTGCTCTTAGCACTCCAATGTGCAGCGTGTACCAGATTTACTTACACACATAAGCCTCTTGTTCGCATACAAGATCTATATTTGCCGTTTCGCATGGCGTTCACCTAGATTGCTACTGCGCGATGTCTACGTGTTGTCCTTTAATAGTTTGCGACATACCCAAGACACTTCGGTGCGGATTGTTGCTACCAGAAGCGGCAATTCCAACAAAGCGTAGATTGTGGCACTATCAGAGGGGCAAAAAGACGAGGGGCGAAAGGCGCGAGGGGCACAGCGGGGTGGTCGTGGAGGGGCAACCTGGACTGTGTTGAGAGAGGGGCACGTTGGACATCTTGTGGTATTGCTCACACTTCAGCTGGCACCATGGTTGGAAAGAGGCGACACATACTGTTATTGTTCTCAATGATCAAGTGGCGCATCTTCACGCCTTGTTATGACTTTTCGTCAGTACTCCGGGGTACTTACGAATGCTCAGCAAGTCTCCATCTCTTTATTTGAACGATACCCCGTAAGGCAGTGCGAAGACCTCGTCCACAAGAGCAGGCATTTTAGGCCTGAACTCGCTGTCAGTTTAAAAAATCACTGCGACAAGCTCATAATACCGCCCTTGATCCAGGAAACGTCAAAGACATCAACTATACACATCATATAGAGCTCATATCCAACCTCGTTCTGACCCCAAGAAGCTACATCCTTCAGGAAACAAAGTACGCATTTGACTCACACTGCGGTCTGTTCCTGATCCAGGCTGCTGTTGTCCGAAATAGCGGTTGAGGCTTTGGACATTTGTTGAACGATTGTACTGTACGCTCGATGCTTTGTCTCTATTGACAGGCCGGGAGCTGAGTAAGAAATTCAACCATGTAAAATCTGAATTAGAAAACATTGACGTGTGTGATCTTCACAATGCATTTATACGCAGGCACGCCAACCTCGGAAAACACCAAACAGGTCTGCAGCCTACATCAACATAGAAACATGCATTGTAGGTAATGTAACGTCGACGTAGGCTCTAGACCTATTTAGTCTTTTCTTGTGTGAGGTGCAGGTAAGATGCTGTCCTCATTCGCAGCTGTACAATCCACCCTTCTCATGTGCGCCCTCTATGCGAAAACACCTTCACGATGTTCCCTCCCGGGCCCTCTATCCATGCGCGTGCTATTCTTGGTCGCATTACGATCTCTCACTGTATATGAGTCTGTCATACTGCGCCCCGCGTGCCAGATATAATGCGAGACTTGAGAGCATAATAGCCCTGTAGTCAGGTTTCGTAAATCGTACCAGTAGCTTCATATCAGAGAGCTGGCAGTTTCGAAAAAGCTAGCGGCTACAGATTTCCGCAGGCATAGATAGGCTGCAATGAATGTAACGTTTGTCTCGATCGTGGATAATAACAGTTGTAGGGAATCTTGAGGACGAACGATGAAGTCAGACAGTTGCTGCTGCTAGATACAGTACCACACTCTTTGAACTAATTATTGTCTTTATCCTAGATAAATGAGCATGCTGTCCAGAGTATCTTCCAACTCAGGCAAAAAGCCTCGGTTCAAGTCTAGGTTGAATGGTTTCAGTCTCATCCTCTAGGCAAGCAGTAGTTAGTTCCGCACAGAAGTCATCTTGCACGCGCATCTGTCAGATTCTAGATACCAGATATTGGTGGCGTCTGGGGGCGAGAACAATTGAGGATGGAGGTTTAGCCACGCGAGGGTAACGTGCGAAGTTTGGGACGCCTAAATCCGATCTTTGGATGGTGGTATTCGCGTAAAAGCCAATTTCGACCACAACAGCCGGCAAGTTCTCACTCTGGTCTTGAACGCCTCAATTCATGGTTGTTCCATTTTTGAATTGCGATCGAATCGTCTCGTGCCAGTCGCGAAACGACCTCGGGACAGCCTGCCCATGCGCTGTTATGTGTCGATCATCTTGTATTTCCCTCAACACGCGGAAGCTATGCACGACTCTGCTCATCGCGTAATACAGCCGTTGTAATCTTGCCTATGCATATTACATGCTTCCGAGGCGCCACAGCTGAGTTTGTGATGCGCGCGCGCCGCCCCTGCTAGTTTTAGCTACCTAGCGCACAACAGGCTGGGAAGACGCGATATTTCCACGGCTCTCGGTCTGTCGTACAAAGTATTCGGAGACATAACGCCGCGACTATTCACTGTTTTAAGATGTTGAAGAAGGTATGGAGGCTAGGTGAAGGTCCGCGGAACTTTAATTGGCAGCGCATGAGAGCACTTGACGTATGTGACGGACCTTGGCGTCAGGCCCTCTGTACTACGGGAATGCGCGAATAGTAGCGAGACACACAACATCCATAGTGCGTGCCGATCGGATCTGTTGCCGATCGAATCAGCCGCTCCTAGTACCAGGTAGTTGGCAGTGGCTGTAACGCCGTCTATACATGGAGTTTGAAAAGTATGAGAGACCTTCCCCAGTTGGACATGCCGGCCTGTTCGGATTCTTCTGGAATGCGAATATCTACTACGCAGAGTAGTAGGCCACCTCGCACACTCACATGTATCCTTGACATGCAGAACCTCGGTGCCCGAGCTCCTCGCCTTCGAGATTTTTACGGGTCCTTGCATGTCGTGTGAATACCTATAAGAAGTGGTCCGAGACGTGCACTTGGCATAGTTAGTAGGCCCGTTGTCCTTCATACGTCTTTTACCGTAGTTGAGCCTCATTTCAAAAGATCGGCGTTAAGTCCTCCAGTCTTGTCATACTTCAACATCGCTTGCTCCCACAGATTGAGCTTGACATAACCTCTCCTTCCCAAGCCACACATCATGCGGGGTGTTCTTCAAGTCGCCCTACTTCTGCCTTTGGCCGTGGGGAATGCGCTTCCCCACGACCGAGCGCAGTTTAAAAAGAGACCCTTCGACCATGTTGACGACATTCTCGCAGGCTTGGGTAGCATCAAGCAGGACCTGATGGCTGGTGGCGCTGCAATCAACCAGCAGCTCTATCAAGCCACTCAAAAGCCCGCGCAGTACGAAAAGTGCAACCCCAGCAACGTCCAAGTGCGGCAGGAATGGTAAGTCTCCGGAACCTAATGCTCCTCGATAACCATGCTGATCGTCTTGAAGGTCTACCTTCTCCAAGGCTGAGAAGAAGGCATACATTAGTGCGGTTCAGTGTCTAACTGAGCTGCCGTCAAAGACACCGAAGGAGATGTGCCCCGGTTGTAGAAATCGCTATGACGATTTCGTGGCCACCCACATGCAGCAGACCTTCAACATCCAGTAGGTCTCCCTTTGGAACACGAATGTGATATACGTACTGACTTTGTCCACCAACGTCTAGCGTTACGGGTAATTTCCTTACATGGCACCGATACTTTACCTGGGCGTATGAGCAGACTTTGCGCAATGAATGCGGCTACAAGGGCACGCAACCTTACTGTAGGTGTCTCTGTACGAACTGCATGTGATGCATACGCTGATTTCGTACACCAATATCTAGACAGCTACTCCAGATGGCACAAAGATCCTACAAAGTCGCCTCTGCTCGACGGCTCTGCGACGTCGATTTCTGGACAGGGCGCTAAAGGATGCAGCAATCAGACATGGACTGGAGTCCCGTCGAACGATCAACCAGTCATCAAGATTCCGCATGGCCAAGGTGGTGGCTGCGTGACCTCAGGACCGTTCACGAACTTCACTGTCAATCTCGGACCGTTGGTTCCTGCATCCAAATGTGTCCGACCGAATCCCGATCCGTCCGGCCTAGGATACAACCCCCGTTGTCTCATGCGCGATATCAACGGCTTCACCGGAGAGGGATGGCTGAAGGACGACGACGTGGTTTCTCTGCTCCAGAGTGACGACTACCAAACGTTTTGGGAAGTTTTGCAAGGTGGGCCAATGGGGAACAGCTTCGCGAACGGTTTCATGGGCGTGCACACGGCCGGTCACTTTATCATTGGCGGCGATCCGGCGGGTGATTTCACAGCATCTCCTGGAGATCCCTACTTCTTCTTCCACCACTCGTCGATTGACAGGCTTTACTGGACTTGGCAGAACCTGAAGCCGAGTGAGCGTACAACTGCCTTGTATGGACCTACCTTTATCGGAACCCCGACCTCGCCCAATGCAACACTCAACGACACCCTGAGCATGGGGGCAGCATATCCTGGGCCCATCACCATAGAAGATGCGTCAAGCACCATGGGCGGACCATTCTGCTACATCTACATTTAGCCTGTAGTGTTTTGGCTTCGTCGTTTTTGGAACAATTTATCCTTTGGATTGGTATTGCACTGTTCCGTTCGTGATACGTGCGCCGAGTTTCGATACTGATCGTCGTTGACACATTGTCGGAAGAGCCGAAGTCGGACCTAGAGTTGCGATGCTAGACATTAGGTGGTACCTGGTTCCGATCAAGCTCTTCTGATCAGCTGTGGTACAAGCTGTTCGGCCTTCCATGTGATTTTAGCATGTGACACCGCGATAGCGATGGTTGTTGGAGGCGATACCCAGTAGCATCGATGCAGGCAATGACCGTGAGAGGCGGTGCGGCACCGATCCACGAACTCTGCCTTCCCCAGCAGGGTTGCGTAGTTGACCGTCGCGTCGCCCGACGGCGCGCAGATTGACGCCCTGAGCGGGTGTTTCCCTTGACACAGCTATGGACAGTGGTTTTGTAACGACGAGCCAAGAGCGACAAGTAAGTGCGGGCTAGTGTCATTGTTTGGGTCGTTGTGATGCGGTTGTGATGGAATGGTAGTGACGACTTGTGGCGGCGCTTGGGCAGCCGGAGATAATTGCCCAAGTTCACTATGTCCGGCACTACAAGATTGACCGATTACTGTCACCTCAGTCTCCCAATAAGCAAACCCATGATATCGACCACGTTTGAACGCAATCGCACCTATTTATTCTGGAGTTTAGTGTGTCATATCCAATTTCTACACGAGTGCTAAATCTTCACCCAAGAAGTGCTGTCCTGTCGTCTATCATAGATTTTGACCAAAGTTGATTGGGAATCAGCATCTGGGAGAGGAAGACTCGAGCATGCAGACACTCGAACGGCATCGCTGCAATATGCGATAGTATTGTCCCCCGATCGCCAATTTATCCCAGCTATTCTTGTAGATACGAGCTTGATCTAGGGCACTCTCGGGCTGTTGTTGAACTCATTTGGCGCAAGTACCAATAGATGGCACAGTCGAACTGTCGCAATTCTCTAAGATTACCCATACTGGAAGAGATGGAAATAGTGTGCGGCTAACTTCAGGCCACGAGATATCAGGATAAGTATAATCCGCAACGCTCAAGAGATAGCGAAGACCTAAGAGAACACGCCCCGAAAACCACCAGTCCAAATAATCAACCTGCTCATCGTCTGTGCGATACGTGCTCAAAAGGATGCAGGGGGTCAACAACCTAGTGCAGCTGCGGAGATACGTCCCTGCATCAGGAGGTGGGAAGCCAACCGTGGGGTAATTATAGTCAGGCCAATACTCCTCGTAGGTAGTTTACACTACAATTGTTAGGTCTCAGTCAACAGAAGCACCAAAGCGCTATTCCGCAGTCAACGGCAGCCTAAGTTGTTTAGGTATTCAGTGATATACAAAATCCTGCACCTGCAACACGAGACTCGAAGAGCGATACCAAGTGATCTTGAACTCAGTACATACTCGCATCTAAATTATCGGCTTTTTGCAAACGTCTTTACATTATGCAAAAGCTGATACAAAAGTAAGACAAGACCGAAAGCATCAGTTAATGATTTGGCGATACATCTGTGAAGTTCGTCCGCCTCAGTACTGCGGAGTTCCGCAGGACGGGAAGCGGATGAGTCGCGACCCCCCTGAACCCCATAGTTGTGACTGCTGCGTGTTGTACAAAATGAAATCTGCCCCTAAGTCGACTAAGGGCCTTTGTGATCTTCTTACCTCTTTCCTCCAAATCTACATTTCCTTCTTTCTATCTCATCTGTAAATAAAACCCAACATGGCGACCGATGTCAATGTCCAATCACTTATCGGTCCCGGCCCACCTGCTTCTGTGAAAGGGCAGATAGCAGCGATGCGATGGGCTAAGCAAAACCCGCCTAAAGACCCAAAATCGTCCTTTGTGGGAAAGACAGTGATCATCACTGGATCAAATACTGGGATCGGCTTGCCTGCCGCCACCAAGTTCGCTGCCAACGGTGCCTCCAAAGTCATCCTCGCAGTACGCAATCTCTCAAAGGGGGAAGAAGCCAAGCGCTCTATCATCGCAGAGACGGGCTGTAAAGCCGAAGTCATTGATATTCTCGAGCTCGACATGAGTAACTGGACATCTGTCAAAACCTTCGCCAACGATGTCACCAGCAGATACGACGAGATTAATATCGTCGTCTTGAACGCGGGGGTCGCACCTCCGAGTTATGTCGAGAACGAGAAGACAGGCTACGAGGCAGCCCTACAAGTCAATATCCTATCGACGGCGTATCTCGCCATGCTACTGCTTCCCAGCCTCAAAAGTAACGCGTCCAAGGGTACTCCAGGCCAGCTCACCATAACTGGCAGCTTCGCTAGCAAGTATGTCACGCCTGCAGACGCTGAAGTCAAGAGTGGTCAGACATTGATCGACAAGCTGAATGACCCCACTGCTTTCAACGCCGCGAAGACGTATGGATTGATCAAGCTGGTCACGCAGTACATACGACAAGGCCTCGTCGACGACTTCTCCAAGGACGCCCAAGGAAATATCGACGTCTTCATCAATGTTGCATGCCCGGGCTATTGCACCACAGATCTGGGGAGAGATTTCCCATGGTATCTCGCGATGCCAACAAAATTGATGCAAATGTTTGTGGGACGCACAGCTGAACAAGGAGCGCGCGAGTTGGTCAGTGCCACGCTTCTGGGAAAGATCGGTCACAACCAATTCTGGTCTAATGACATACTGGATGAGTGAGTCCTCTGGACAAGTGTTGCACGCCATAGAAAATACTGACCTCCAGCAGTCCAGGTGAGCTGGTCATTGGGTACCAAGGGAATAAGCTGCAGTCACAGACATGGAATGAGATCCGCCGCATCTGCGAGAAGCAGGGACTGTAAGGTGACAGGGGCGGGCATCGAGCGGACAGGATGTGGGCGTTCACATGGCTTCTGTCTAATTGTTTCCAACAATATTATAGGTTTACGTCGCTCGTTAGGCTTCCCGTCCGCTCAGCCATATACAAGCATTGTACCGGCAGATTAGTACTCGGGGTCGTCTCTGGGTCAACTCTCGGTCATCGCAGCGTCAAACGCTGGAGGAGGATAAACTACATGCTCGCTCCGGAAAATGTAGGGATAAAGCGTGCATTAGCTTATTAACACACATCGCGCAATATCTCCGCATAGCGACATCCTTTATTAGTCTCTCTATCCTTTACTAGGCTATCTATCCTTTACTAAGCCCTCTATCCTTTACTAAGCCCTCTATCCTTTACTAAGCCCTCTATCCTTTACTAAGCCCTCTATCCTTTACTAGGCCCTCTATCTTCTACTAGGCCCTCTATCCTTCATCAGACTCTCTATCCTTTATCAGGCTCTCCTACGTCATCAGGCTCTCTATTCGTCATTAGGCTCCCCATCCGTCATTAGGCTCTCCATCCTTCATCTGGCTCTCCATCCTGCACTTTAATGACGAAGCCTGGGAAAATGTAAATTGTATTCTCTTCTCAATTACAGGGCAAGGCCGCCATTGCTCTTCAGTTCGCCAATCAAGACTACCGCGCGCGTCTTCCACGTCCTAGTCCTCGTCTTCAGACTCCACAAGCGGTCTCTTACGTCTTGCTCTCTTGCTCGCAGTTCCCATTGCGCTCTCCTCGTTTTCCTGAAGGTTGGCCTTCTCCGCACGAAGAAGATTGTTCTTTGCCTCAGTAAAGACTACCCGGGCAATACGCGGAGTTTTTCCCTTCTTCATCGGCCAATCTTTCAGTATCAAATCACAGGCAGTGTCCAGTTCTGCTCTTGTCGCATCAGCGCTACTAAAGTGTTTGTTCTTGTTCAAAAATACGGCTGCGTAGCTGTTCAACAAAGACTTCTCTCTGTCGGTAAAGTCGATAGGGTAGGTGATTGAGCTCGCAGGTGGCATCGGAAATGTAGACGCCCATCGATGGGAGGCACGGATGGCTTCGTTCCAGACGACACCCCGCTGTTGTATGTTTTTGCCTAAAAGTCCGTTTTTTTTGCATCGACATGCTGTGGGCGCATACGCGTCGATTGCTGTACACAATGAGCATAGCTAGGAGGAGACCTCAGTCCCTGCGTCGGCACAGTCCTGATCGTAGGGATGAAGGCGCTGCTTTTTGCACGTGGGGTTCGGCGTTCGCGCTGTTCTTTTCAGCTCTCTTGGCAACCTTCCGAGCTGTCCTGTCTGCAGTAGTACTACTACTTGAGCGTCTCCCTGTTGCCAGCGCTTGAACTATGCTCTCTATTCTTTTGGGTCTTCCGGCCTTTGTACCTGTCTCTACCTTGAGCAGCGCTGTGTATCGATCGCCCTTGTTCATGCTTTCCCATTGAGCTTCCGCAGCAGGTACCTGAGCAAGCGCAATCTTGAGGTCTTCAGGCACTACGATCGTAGCAGACCCTGCGTACGCACGATCCCATCGCCCGTCTGCTTTCGCAGCATCAACGTCAGCCAGGCCAGCAGGACGCATTCGGCCGGTCTCAATAAGACGTGCCACCGTCCCGACGTTCTTCTGAGACCACATACTGTTCGCTCTCCGTGGTGTGTAGCGTACCGTCCACCAGGTCTCATCGCAGGCGTTGGCGCGACCATCTATCCAGCCATAACATAGCGCTACTTCGACGGCTTCCGCTGCCGTTATTGAGGGTGTGCCAGAATTCTTTTTGGCGAGCTTCACGTAGAGGCCGGGAGCCGTGGCATGTTCGCGCTCGAGAAAGGTTTCGAAATCTGTACACGTAGGAAACGCCTGTACGGGGAATTCGGGCGGTGTTGCCTTGGGCGGCATAGTGGCTAGTGTGGGGTTGCGGAGCAGCGGGAAACGCGATGCGGGTCTTTGCAGCTGGACAATGTTTAGTGAAGAGAGGGACATGCGGTCCTGAAGCTTGGCAGCATGTGCGTACCTATTCACCGTCATTAGAGATGGCATGCAGTCGTGGAGTCGATGCATGTCCGTCGCAAAAATCGGGGAGGAGGCGCAGCACGTCAGGCGCGCAATCACGTGCGCACGTGTGCACGCGCCACATCACTCTATCAAGTTGATGAGAAGAGATGCCACTACACGTTCATCGATCGTTTGTGTCTAGCACTACGTTCGCACTTCAGCAGGCGATTGCTATACGCTGTCTGCTCCCATTGCCACGTCTTCCGCTGCTCTGCCTCTTCTCTCCTGCAACCCGACTGTGCCTCCCAGAGTTTAGCGAGATTTCGAGATGAGGGGTCTGGGGTAACGACTGTGGGCGCTGGGCGCGTCATCTTCAGGCAACGACCTGACACGCACGTGAGATCTTTGCAATACAAGCGCTACTAGTGCAGTTCAGTCTCGAATCACGATTTGTCCGCTCTCACATTCGTTGCTACCCAATTGAACGCGCCTTCCATTGCTACAAGTCGCCATCTAGAGCTCAAGTCATTGGGTCTGTTCAACTCTGTTGACTATCAACACGAATGTCCAATGCTCCCATCGCAAGAGCCGCAGCCCTGACGCGAGTAATTGGGCAGTCGGGTCGCCGTTACGTTGTCGAACGACTACTTCAAGATCGGCCGGGCAACCATGGACGTGTGTATCTTGCCACGTTAGTTGACACTATCCGAAACAAACAACATGATATTCGTCTGACGTCTTTTGCAGCTCGGAGGATCGGAAATACGTACTGAAGACAGTCCCTGAGAAAACTTACAAACATTGCAAGACCATGTTTGACACTCTTCGCGGTACGTCTCACGTACGTGTCGCCGAGGACACCGACTCAGAACATTGCACATTCATACATCCATACCGACGTGACCACCTACTGTCTTTCGTTCAGAAAGACGTTCCGCTTCCCACAACAAAACTCGTCCTTCGAGACGCTCTGCGTGGGCTCGCAGCGCTACACGCCAAAGGGATGGTGCACACCGATATAAAGCCAAACAACATATTGCTGGATTGGAACGATCAAGGAGGGGGGCTAGAAGTCAAAGAAGTGCAGATTGCTGACATGGAAGATATGGTTCACCTCCCGGATAACCATTACATCAGTGGCAGGCAGTGGGGAAACTGGATGTGGCGCAGTCCAGAGGCGCACGCAGCGGCAGCGATACAAAAGCCGACAGACATGTTCTCCTTCGGTCTGGTTGTAAGTGGCCTACCACTTGTATCGCGCTTCAATGAGTAACTCAATTTCGCAGTGCATATACGCCGTGACAAAGGAAGCAGTTCTCGCTGTAGATCCAAAAAAAGCTACAGAAGACAATCCAATCGAGGCCATCGTCGTTCGACGTCTCATATTTTAGCGACCTAGAAGATATGGAAGGGTTGATCACCTACCTGGAAGATAGCCCCTGGATTGGCTACCTGAACTTCGTGATGGCGAATTTCAGCGAAGACTATCCAAGACGTCCACTCTGCCTGTGGAGCGATCTCGACGAAGATTTGAAGGATCTTTTGACGAAGATGATGAGTATGGACCCGAAACGACGCATCACAGCTTCTGAGGCTTTGGCGCACAAGTGGTTTGCGGACGTGCCTTGATGTATCTTGCAGAGCTCAGCGCTGTCGACTGTCCTTTGGTCCTTTGTACTATTACCCTCATGTAGAACGACCTCACCTCTCTCTCTATAATTACCCACTCAATCAATATCTCTGCTCTAGGATCTTATCAAATTACAGCATGCGTGTTTTCGTGCATAAAGAGGCACACTAGCCTGAGCCGCAAACGAGCGTGCGCCAAACTGCAAGATATAGCGGTAAAGATCAGGGTATAGGTCAAACATGCTGTCCGATCAGCTGTACACCAGAGATCATTCAGGTTCAGTCTAGTCCGTCGAGTAGGATTTGCATTCAAGACAAATCCTCGTTATAGTCGGAGCTGGGCGTCAAGCGTCAACGTTTAGTACAAAGGTAAATGTACATGTGAGTGCGGGTTAATGAACCTATATTACTCGCTTGAATCCTATGATGCAGGACAAAGGCGGTCGAAGCCATCTAAAACACGACTGAAAAGGACAAAGCTCCGCCTCAAGTGACTACTGTAAACGTAGATAATAATGCGTGTCTATTGGAACGCTTGAACGCGGGTATCGTAAGCATAAAACCAAGTACTCCAAATGCTCATGCAACGCCTATCCTAACACTTCTTATTCCCGCTCACGGAATAGCTGCAGGATCCTTGGGCCAATTGGCCGCAAAGGCAGTCCATGGTGTACCTCGCATGACCAGATTGCCGTCCTTGTCAGGTACGTACAACTGTGGCTCATATCCCTGTACACTCGCCCATGACCAAAACAGCCGTCTCCAGTAACAAGTCACTGCCGCTGGTGTCAGATACCTTCTGGTGAAGGTCTCGTAACTGTTCTTTGCAATCTCCTCAGCTTCGTTGTCATGCGCACGGTAGTACTCCATAGCCGATTCGAGGTTTCCAAAGTTCTCGGACGCTTCAATGTAGTTCACGTCGGGACCAGCAAGCCTCATTAGGTGAGTGTGAAACTCTTGCCATTCGAGAGGGTGTGTGACGAGGGCTGAGCGGCAAAGCTGGAGGTACTTAAGGCGGCCGGAGTACGAGGTACCTTCGGTTTGGACGGTGAACTTGTATCTAGAAGACGGTCAGTACGGTTTCATACCCATGTCGCAGCTTTGTCTCTTACCCGCAGAATTGCCTCAGATTCATAACGTCCTTGGTATGCGGGTCGCTGGCGTTGTTGATGACCACAGGCTTGATGTCGCTCCATTCCTTGCCTTCGCTGACTCGGACCAGCTCCTTCCTCAGCTTAGCCATCTTGACCTTGCCCCGCCATACGATCCTAGGGTCCTTCTTCGCCCATGGCAATTCGGTCTCCTTCTGCTCAATTTCTTTCCTGATGCTGTTCCAGCTTGGAGCATGGGTATAGTTCCACGCCCAGTACGCGTAGTTTGGCATCATCCAAATGTCCTTGTACTCCGGACCCTCCTTCCGGGTGTACCCAAAGAATGTTCCCTGTTTCCTGGATCGCCGCGGCAGATCGTCGAGCGAGAGGGAGAATTCGACGTTTGGGATCGAGGGGTCGGATGTTGAGGTGGTGGAGACGGCGCGGTCGATTTGTGCTAGGGTTCCTAGAATGCGTTCTCTCTCGTTTCCGTTCGTGACGTAGCATTCCTCTGGCTTTCCGGCATCGACGACAAACAACTAGGAGTGGCAGGTTAGTTGTAGCCCGGAAATTGACCAGACGCGTATAGACGTACCTCGCCCTCGTATACCATAACCCGTAGCATGCATCTTCCCTGATCGATTTCGATATCCTGAATATGCACCTTTCTGCCTTGCCTTAGGCTAACCGACTGATCTAAGCTGTGATACAGCTTTGGAAAGGCGGAATCGCATTGGTCATGGCTGAGTGTGTGCACATTGGCATGCAGGTCGGCGTTGAAGTCCCAGTCTCGCTGAAGATTCCTATGGTGTGAAAAAGGAATATAGTTGTGTTTCGATTGCCCCCATATGGACCATAACTGGGTTGCGATCACAAAGGTCGAGATGTAAAAGACGAGGTGCGAAAAAGATAGACGGTACGCCTTTGGCATCATGATTGCATAACGAGTGAACAACGCGCGACTGTATTAACGAATGACTGAGGGTAAGTTGTGAGGTCGAGAGGCGAAGTTGGAGAGAGACAAGAATCCCAAGAAATGGACAAGACTCGAGAGAAAAGCCGCCTTCAGATAGTGCCCCATTTGATACGAGCGTCCATTCTGACAAGCGTCGACTGAGCACAGCTAACCATTAGTAGCGGAGGGTGTCCATGCGAACCCCTGGGCTATCCCCACACCATGACAGACTGGGCAAGTACGAGCTGACAGTTCGATCAAGGCCCTATCAGAGAGCCGCTAGAGCCGGACACGATAAGTGCATGGCCTGGAATACGATCAAAAGGATCTGAAGGTGTCAGGAAAGAGTGGATAGGAGTTGTTCGCCTGGATCGTTCAGGGGTAGAAGCTTCCGTCAGACCCTGGCGCTAAGACGCATCAGCCTCGGCTAGTCGTATCTTTGGCTAGCTGGCGAGAGCACGCGCACGCAAGCGACTCTGACCGCGAACGCTAACGGGCATCAACAATCACGCCGGCCGCGAACCGCCATATTGCAGTCCAACCCAGTACCATAGAACTAAAAGTGCGCGAAGGAAACGTCTTGGAGTAGTCCCCGATGCATTGACGTCAAGCAACGCCATGCAATGGGAGAACTCTTGTTCGAGGGCCCACGCGGCTTAGCGCGGGAGCTTAACACTCCAGGTGGACTTATCCCCTGGCATCTGCAGCTCTATACCCTCAGCTAACTGTACATGGAGGTGATGGGACGTCGCAAGGCGAGCATCACAATCAGGAAGGTGGGATCCGCAACATCCGACGAGGATCAATGCGCCCCAACCCGTTCGACCCTGCGCCGCATAGAGACCCGAATGCCCCTCTATCTTACTATCAGTGACCTTTTTGGTGTTCGGAGCCATGTCAAGGAGAAACCCAGACCCTGCCACCTATCAACAATCGTCACTCTTGCTCATGGAACATTGCATACTCGCCGACATAGGAACACAATCGTTCATTTGCCGATACGACACGGCCTGGTGGAACAACGGCTGAGTGCGGCACAGGACATTGACAGAATGCCTGACTGTGAAATGGAATGGCCTAATCCCGGTGGTTGATCATTTATCTGCTCTCACGCATTCGCTCTCATGCTCGACCCGGCACACGGCAATGCCATCAGAACCTTGAGGCATGATTATCTGATGTTCGAGAACCCACACGCCAGAAAAAGGAAATCCTCAACCGTTGGAGACGCTAGTCTTGCCTTGCACGCCTTCTGGTAGCCTTGAATCAAAAGCAACGCGAACATGACTACACAAGTGGCAATGCGAGAGTTCCGTCAGGCGACTACCCGAGATATAATGTGTATAGCGATAGCACTT